GAGGTGGAGGTGAGGTGGAGGTGGAGGTGAGATGAAGGTAGAGGTGAGGTAGTGATGAGGTAGAGGTGAGGTAGTGATGAGGTGGAGGTGAGGTGGAGGTGGAGGTGAGGTGGAGGTGGAGATGAGATGAAGGTAGAGGTGAGGTAGTGATGAGGTGGAGGTGAGGTAGTGATGAGGTGGAGGTGAGGTGGAGGTGGAGGTGAGATGAAGGTAGAGGTGAGGTAGTGATGAGGTGGAGGTGAGGTAGTGATGAGGTGGAGGTGAGGTAGTGATGAGGTGGAGGTGAGGTAGTGATGAGGTGGAGGTGAGGTAGTGATGAGGTGGAGGTGAGGTGGAGGTGGAGGTGAGATGAAGGTAGAGGTGAGGTAGTGATGAGGTGGAGGTGAGGTGGAGGCGGAGGTGAGGTGGAGGTGGAGGGGAGATGAAGGTAGAGGTGAGGTAGTGATGAGGTAGAGGTGAGGTAGTGATGAGGTGGAGGTGAGGTGGAGGTGGAGGGCAGAGCGTGGGTTTGAGACATTGGGGAGAACTGACAGGACGGTCTGTGGGGAGGTGAGTCCACAACCTTCGAGCTGCCCGGTTGTGGGGGGCATCCTCTGGCTTGTTTTGTAGGCTGGGAAGACGGGAGGAGCAGGTTATGGACACGGGCTCACGCGGGCTGGGTGAAATCGGGACGAGAGCAGTCTCCTCAGCCCCGAAGTCCTCATCGCCCACCTGGCTGTCCTTAGCTCTGCACTGGGGTCCCCGTGAGCTCCGTGCCCCTGGCCCATCGCTCAGGCAGTTCCCTGCCCGCCATGTCCTTCTTTCTCTCTTTAGATTTCTACTTGAAAAGCCAGGTCAGGAGGGCCTCCTTCCACACGGCCTGCCTGGGTCACCGTCCAGTCCTCTAGGCCCACAGAAAGCCTCTCCCCCGCCACCAGGATACTTCTAGACCTGGTGCCTCGAGCACCCTGTCGGGCAGCCCCCTGGGCTCAGTCACCCGCCTTCGCTCACCGGTAGAAGGCCAGCTGGAGGGCCACCTGGATGAAAGCGTCAGGGCTGCACTTCTGCTTCTTAATGAAGGTTTTCCCATAGCTGTCAAATTTATAGACAGTGAAGTCGAGATTCTTTACTATCCTGTGGGAGACAAAGAAAAGACGCTCTTATCGCGTGCAAGACAGAGCATGCGCCGGGGCTTGCCGAGTTTCCTGAGCCTGCTCCGTGTTCTAGCTCTCTGGAAGGTGAAGTCCTGCTTCCTGCTCTTGAGGGACACAGCATGGTGTCAGAGACATGCCCTGGCCTGCAAGGGTGGCAGAAGGCATGCTGGACCCCCTGAGCTGCAGGAGCTCAGTGGGCAAGGTGGTGGCCCTACTCTGGGTGGTGTGGGGGCCTCAGCTGCAGCAGCCCTGGGAGGGCATGGGGTAAGAGACGTTGCATGGGCAGGGAGCACACTGCCCACAACCCAAGTCCTCAAAGCTGCTGCCCACAGAGGAGGCCTGAAGGAGGGCATTCATTTGACTCAAGTGAGAACACGCACCCGGCTTCCCAGTGAATCTTTTCGTCATCCTGGCAAAGCCTGTTCGCCAGCCACTGCCTACGGCATCTCCTCCCCATTTTCACACCTTGCTGTGCTGGGGGAAAGGAGGGCCTGGGGCCACCTCTGTCACGGTCAGTACAGCCAGGGCTGTTCATCTGGAACTGCTGTTCACAGGAAAACTCCCTGCGTCTACGTGAGATGCTGGAACACTGGCCACCCTGTGTTGACAGGTCTCTCCTCCTTCACGAGTTTGGGGTCTGAGCAAACCGCCCACTAGTGCAATGCCCAGGAGGGCCACAGAGCCTGCCCTCCCGCGTGTGTGGGCGCAGAGCCCTGGGCAAGCTGACCTCCGTGCTCTCTGGACTGGTCCCCCTGCCTCAGCACAGCACCAGGGGCTGGGGACCAGGGGCACTTGGAGAGGGCCCAGTTCCCACAGGAACTTGCCCCCAGTCCTGCCCATCAAGACCTCTTGGACAAACTGAGTTCACTGTCACCACGGCCCCTCGGAAGCCTCCTCTGCTCACTTGCCTCCCTTCCCTGGGCTCCTCAGGACCCCGGGGCACCTCCCACTTCCCCACCTTCCCCAGAAGCTGACGGAGTCTGCTGGGGCCCCTGAATGTGAGTGGGCCCCTTTCCTCTCCAATGCAGTCCCCTGGCAGCCAGGGTATCACCCCTGGATGTGAAGGCGTCAGCATCGTTTACAGCGAACCCAAGGCTCCTCACTCCCTGTAGTGGCCAGGTCGTTCCACAGCCACTCTTGGCCTTCCAGGCTG